CTCTACAAAATAGCTATCTTAGATTTTTTTTTTACATTTTATTTAAAATTTAAAAATAATTAATATTTTTAATAAAATGTAAAAAAATTAATTATTTAGATATAGCTATAGACCTAACTAATAACTATTATTTAAAAAAAAATCAACTAAAAATATTAACTGGATCAAAAGTTATTTAAGTTGTCAGTGAGTGGTGAGCCACCCTGTATAATAAAATAAGGAAAAAAGTAGTTTTTTCTTTTGAAAATTACTTAGTGTGCTCCGATTTTCAAAATTTATATTTTTCAATGAAAGTACTGCCACGAGACTACGGGAAAAATTATGAGTGAAGGTCAAAAAATGTGTGTAACTCGACCACAACAGTTTTAAAATTTCGACTTTTTTCGAAAAAAAAGTTCGTTGATAACAGCATTTTATGACTTAAAGTTTGAAATTTTCACCAGACTTACGCAAAGACATTTTGGAGATATCAGAAAAAAAGATTTCCAATTATTCTGAAATATTAACATAATTCTTATAATTAAAATATTATTAATTATTGTGTATATTAGAGATGTATCTAAAGGAGGGATAGTGGCGATCGTCCTCTCTATACCTGTAGTATCATTATTTTTTAGAGCCAAGAAAATATGGCTCTATTGATCTTTTTTTCAATCATCTCTTTGATTTTTAGCTAGAAATTGCAAAAATGATAAAAATAAAAAGTTAAACATTTAACACAATCTAATCGGGACTAAGTAGGGCCTGAGGCGGAGCCTACTTCTTTAGAAACACAATTATTTTACAAAAAAATTGTTTTAAAATATAATACAACAGTATTAATACGACTTTAAATATTAATATTCAACATTTTATTATAAAAATTAATTTTTTCAATTTATTTACAAATTACTCTGAAAAAATTAAAACTGAACTATGGAAAAGTGTCAATTAAGTTTTATCTTATATACATTTTTTTTTTCTTGAAATTGTAGTCCTACTAATTTTTTTTTAATTTCACAGATAATTTTAAAATAATAAAAAATTTATGTTTTTGTTATCTTTTATATATTACTGTTGGGCCACTTACTACTAGCGCTTTTTGTTCACGATAAATACTACTTTAACGCGATTAAATCATTAAACATGTAGCACAGTTTTCAACCTGAGTAGATAAGCGTTATCATCACTTAAGTTGAAACTATGTAATATATGCAACTATATAATTTATAGTAATCAATAAGAAAACAGATTTCTATTGTTTTTATTGTTCATAACAATTGATCTGTTTCCTTATTTTGTGAACACTCTGTATATGTGATTAAGCAAGTGTAAAAATTAAAAATAAATAATTTTAATATGATTTTAATTTTAAATAATATTAGCCGCAAGTGATCAATTTTTATTATACAGTTGTTAAAAAATTATTTTAAATTAAATACAATTCAGTTATATCTAGTTAATATTAAATTTATTATAGTAAGCCGATTTTACTAACAGATCATAAGAGTCTAATACTATTGAGCAATAAAACAGGTTTTAAAGGTTTTATAGATTTTATTATGTTTATAAAATATAGACACTTTTTTCATTCCGTAATATACAGTCAAAAAAAAATAAAGTATAAGAAACCATAAACAATTCGATTTTCGAATTTAAATAACAAAGTAAAAATGATCAAACAAAAAAAAAAAAACCCAGCACAGGGGGGTCGCGGCACAGTTGTGACGTGGTATAGTTGGATCAAGTATAATGATATCTGACAGTGATTAAAATCACTATCAAAAATAAACGCTTCGATGCAAATCTTTAGATAGTGCTTAATTTAAAAAAAATTGGTGTTTTATTCCAAAAGCTACTTGATCTGCTGGTTCCTTATTAATATCTCGATAAAGATAAAGTATGTCAAATGAAAAAGGGTTTATTAAAAAATATTATTTCTCATAAAAAAATTGTGTGGATCCATAAACTTTTCAATAAGTTATAGCATTATAAAGTTAAATATTATATAAATAATAAAATCGAGAATTTTCACACGAAAATAGCATTCGGTAGCCATTTTCGCCGTGAAGACAAATCCAGAGGTCAAATTTTTTTTTTTTCAAATTAAAGTATATTACATTAGCTTTAATATAAGATATATATAAAAGTGTCAGACCTTCCGGAACACTTTCAAAAGTTAAGTTGAAAAAGTTCTACTTTCTATATGCATTTTTTATATTTGAAGCCCCCCCATATATAGGGAAATAGCCTGATTTAATAAACAAGTATATCCAATGAAAGATGTATATAAATACTACTTCTCATGAAAAAATTGTATTGATCCATACATTTTTTAAAAAGTTATAGCACTTTAAAGTAAAAAATGTAAATTATAAAATCGAAAATTTTCACACAAAAATAGCATTCGGTAGCCGTTTTCACCATGAAGACAAGTCCAGAGGTCAAATTTTTTTTTTTCAAATTAAAGTACATTACATTAGCTTTAATTTAAGATATATATAAAAGTGTCAGACCTTCCGGAACATTTTCAAAAGTTAAGTTGAAAAAGTTAATTTTTTGTGAAAAAGTTGTCATTTTAAATCCCCCCCTGTGGGCAGGTTAAGTGTCAGATTTACAAAAAAAATATACCAAATGATAGGTAAAGACATCAAGCATCTATATAAAAAAAAATTATATTGATATGTTCATTTTTGAAAAAGTTACGGCAGTTTTTAGTAAAAAAAATTGAAAAAATTTCGAAAATTAGCGATTTTTAAATTTGTAATTTTTTTGGAGGTTTCCCCCATTTACGGGGAACGAGGGAAATTTTTTCAATTTTGAAGGGTAATGTCTTCGACTAGATACAATTTGTGATCTTTTGACGTATCGTTGAAAGAAATCCGTTCGGTGAGAGCTGAGAAAAAGTGGTAACAGACACAAAAAAAAAAAAAAACACATCATAGTTAAACCAATACCTTCTCAGCTTCGCATCGAAGCTAAAATATGACTATTTACATGGTAATACAGCAGAATTCTTAAAAAATTAACAAATTTTAGAAATATGTATATAAAATGCGCTCTAGTTATCTCTTATCAAACTAAATATTGCTTACATAGTATTATTATAGATCTCAGTAAAAGACTTCATAATTTTTTTAATAATTAAGAAAATTAAAATTATTCCTCTATTAAATATATATAATAATTATATTGTCGTATAAAGTGTTTTCTACCTTTATAAACTAGCTTAGTTATAGAAATAACCATATGTTTATAAGCTTCCTGTTTTCTCTGGTGAAATAATTTGATCAAATTACACATAGAAATGTTTTAGTGATATTAATAAAACATAATATAAAATATTTTGTATACGGGAGGTAATAATTATAGATTTTGTTTATATATGTTTAAAATTTACATACACTACCCCAAAATACAGATTTTTCTTTTAATTGTATCAAATCATTTTTAAACGATTTTTGTAAAAGTAATATAAATACAATAAATGTTCATATAATTAAACTTTTTCAAAAACCTCATTACAATTTCTATACTTTTATATTTGATACATTTATTCTATTACTGTTCTATAAAAATAATGCCTAATCAAATAAAATACATGCATACATACATATATAAATATATATATAAATTTTATATTTATCTAAAAATTTGCAAAATAAAAAAATTAATTGTAAAATATAAAAACTATTATATTTCTTTATTTTATTAATTGATAAATAAAGCTTAATAAGAATCTTAACTATGTAGTAGAAAAAATGTCTTAAGAAATATAATATTTTTTGGTTCAATATTTATTAAATAGCGATTTTAATCAATCGAAATTGATTTGTTTTTTCTGGCATTTATTTCCAATTCAAAAATAAGACAGTATTGATTTTACAACTATACTTTTTGTTCAAAAAATAATAATAATTAAATAATTCTTACGGTTTTCAAGCTAATCACCACAATTAAATTAATTATTAATTAATTAAATATTATTAGTTACATTTTTTCACATGCGTACTAAGATTTTATACCTCAGAGAATTCATAACTCTATACGCTACCATTACTTAACTACATTATCAATAACAAACATATCAAGTGTGGAATTCTAATAAAATGTATTGCTCTTCCATAATCCCAATTAATTATTATTTTGCTTTTAAAAATAAATTAAAATTAGATATTTAAATTTTGGTGTAAAAATTATATTTTATCGGATTCAAAGTTTGATGTGTATGATTTTTGAAGTTAACAAATTATACAATATAACACTACTTTTTAAATTTATGTTTTTTTGTACATCACCAACAAAATTTTCAAGAATCATCTCAGAATTGTAATCTAAGAAATGTTTGAGTTATTAACTTAGAGAAAATACAAAAAATTAGAGATGTTTCTAATTTGATTTTAATTGTTAACAGAAAAAAATGTCTTTCTTAGTACGCGGCAAAAGTTAACAAAAAATTGAAAATTGTCCAATCGATTTTCGATGTTTATTTTAAAATACTACATAAGCTATTTGCTTACTTTTTTTTAACTTTCTATTGATTTTATAAGTCACGCAAAACCAAATTGTAAATTTTAAAATTTATTTTTCACATTCCAAACTTCAAAATTGATGTTAATCAGTTTTTTTTTCTTATTAACTACAAATTATAATTATAATATTATAATAAACTTTTATATTCATAACATATTTATTATTTCTAAAAAAAATGTTTTTTGTAATATAATTTTTTTTAAATAGAACTTAAATACTTTGTTTTTAAACAGTTTTAACTTTAAGATTTACAATAAACAATCATTTTTATAATACTTATTTTGCATACATTTTTTTTTATCAAAATAATTTATTTACTCTTTATAGTATAAATATGAAATATTAAATTAATACCAAATCTAAAAAAACCTATACATTAAACAGATATCAATTGGCAAATTACCGAGTTAAAATGTCACACTCTTAGCTATAGAAAAATACTAGCAAAATATTTATGGAATACAAGTTTTTAAAAAAATATTACATACCTGTTTGGACTGAATTTTAACCTTATGAAATGAGTGATCAAAAACTAGACTAACAATATTCTGGCTTTCATAAGGAAATGTGTAAATTTGTAGAAATTACAGATATTTACATATACAGAATATATAACTTTTATAGTTAATTAAGTTTACTTAAAGATAATAGGTATACTTTGTATTTTATATTAGTCAATTTAAAATTACGTGACCTAAAATAAAAAAGTACTAATTGATAGGTATATAATATATTCTAAAATTTACTATTTTAGTCACGAAAATAAGGTTTTTTCTTATGAATGACATATTTAATATGGTCGAATCAACCAATGTTCGTTATAAAACCAATGTACCAGGGTTGCAGCAATAGAAATTTAAAGATGCGTATGAATTACTATCAGTATAATTAGATGCCGTATGATCTCCTGATAGAGCCATATCACGTAATATTCAAGAAAAACAGAAGAAAATAGACGAAATTCAAGAAATATTAATCTGATTAATTTTAAATATTAATAATCCACTTCTTTTATGCTATTTTTTTAGGACAATAGTAACATAAAAATTATATATTTTTATTTTATTAAAAAAAAAGTAAAATTAAAAACAATATATTAGAACTATTAAAAAAAAACAAAAATATTTTATAAAGTATATTTACTCTATTAATATATACTATACTAAAATACACTAAAAAAATATTACTTTATTTGTTATGAAATTTTAATGTTTGTTCAATTTTGTATTTTTGTACTATTTTCCTATGGTACCAAAAATGACCATATTATGTAATGAACGGAAATAAATACTATCTTATTACATAATTTACTAGTAACAGTATGCAATTTCTTTTCCATGAAAGTCATTAATGTTTGAATGAACTTTTTATAAAAATAATTATGTCAAATTTTTCTTACAAAATAATAGAAACATTTTTATATATTAACTACAAGTCTTTAATGTGTGGTCAAGTTAAAATCAATAACAATTATTAATTTGCGTAATTTTATCATTGATATCATTTTATAATAATATATTCTTTTCAATTCTTTTTACTTAAAACTGCCATAATTTTTTGAAAAATGTATGAATCAATAAAATTTTTTTTTATAGATACATGAAATAATAACTTGGCATTTTTTATATATTTTTGTTAAATCTGACTCTTTACCTGCCTACAAAAGAAATATTAAAATAACAGCTTTTTCACAAAAAAGTAACTTATTTAATTTAATTTTTAAAAGTGTTCCGGAAATACTAATATTTTTATATACAGTTTAAATTAAAGCTTATGTAATATATTTTATTTTGAAAAAAAAATTCGAACTTAATTTTGTCTTCATGGTGAAAACGACTACCGTATTTAAAAATATGTTATAAAAATGTTTCTCGATTTTGTATTTTATTTTAAAGTACCTTAAAAATATTTTGAATGGTTTTTTTAGTTAAAGTAAATCATTAAAATTAATTAAGTTCTGAATATTTAAATTTTAGAATATTTTTAAACACCAAAAGTTCCATATAAATTATTACTATGATTTCTATTAAAGTGTTCTATTATAAAAAAAATGCTAAAAAAAATTTGAAATTTTCTGATAAATTTACAATAAATAGTAATTATACAATTTCCTGACTGTATATTAATCTTAATAATACTATTTTTTTTAATTCTCATGAAATTTTCTATTTAATAATGTAAATTTCTTGAAATTTACTCAACTTGAAGTTGAGCTAAAAGTTATGGTAACAAATTCACTTTTTTTTTTATATAAACTTTCAAAAAATCAATTTAAAAAAAATAAGTTAAAAATTATATTTTGCACTGATTATTCTTAAAATATTCCTTGTTAAAATATTATATATTTTTGAAATTAAAATCTGTAATAATTTCAAAACAATTTTATTTGTTTTTAATTATTTTTTTATCGTAATAAAAAAATTCTATGTATTTCTTGGTGTTTAAATAACTGATACAATTGAAATATACAGTACTAATTTCTTTATAGTTATATCCTATAGTTTTAACTTATCAATAATAATATCAAAAATTATCGGTGATAGAAAAAGTATAACTGCTGATTTAAAATTAGTACGAAAAATTGAATAATAAAAGTATATTTTTGAAACTGATGAAAATTTTTCGCAGACCATTTATTCATAATTCTTCTTTTTCTTTTTCCACGCTTTAATCCCAACTACTTGGGGTCAGTCACCCTTATCTTAAACTTCCACTTGATACGATCTTCCACATCATCTACGCTCACATCAGCTGTCCTCATATCGCAATCAATTACATCCCTCCATCTCTTTTTTGGTCTTCCTCTACCTCTTCTCCCTTCAACATTCATTTCTATAACTGTTCTTGCGGCTTCCGATTCTTCTCTCCTCATAACGTGACCAAACCATCTAAGTCTATTTTCTCTCATCTTATCCACGATTGACGCTACACCTATACTCCCTCTTATATGCTCATTTCTAATCCTACCTTCTCTAGTCACTCCACTCTTCCATCTAAGCATTCTCATCTCTGCTACACTCATTCTCTGCTCTACTTTCTTATAAACCATCCAACACTCTGAAACATACATCATAGCTGGCCTCACTACAGTCTTGTAGAATTTATTCATTACCATTTATTTATAATTAACAAAAAACTATTTCTAAGTTTTGTGTTAAGACCATCAATTTTTATACACGTTTGACATAAAAATATTAACTACTTTATAATATTTTATCATTTATTTTTAAAAATTACAATAATAAATTATTAAATATCAATCTCATACTAATTTAATTGTCATTATAAATATTTATTTATATATTATATTTCTTAATCAAAAAACTACTAATCAGGAATAATAAAGGAAATAGGAATTCTTTTTGTTTTTGGTTTAATCCACGAACTTTTTAAAACTAAACACTATCTACAGATATGCATCGAAGCGTTTCTTATGATAGTGATTTTTATCACTGTCAGATATCATTTATATTTGTCCCAACCATGTCTTGTCTATACTGTACTGCAACCCCCCCCCTGTGCTACTGATTTTGTTTTAATATGCTAGAACTCAGGCTTGAAAAAAGCAAAACAAAATTTTTACAAAATAACGACCACATGTGCAAAATGAATGTTGTATAAAAATTTAAAATTTATATACAGATTTTTATTTTGACCAATTATGGCAACCCTAATTTCAAGTACATCAAACCTATCATTAATGCATAATTTTTTTTTCTGATTAAGTCAATTTTTTTCAACTTTTTATCTTGTCAGTTTAATGAATCAATAAATATTTATTTAATGAAAAATTACCATGAAATTATTAAAGTATACCTATAAAGAGGTATTTTATTGGTACAATGGTATATGTTCCTTGTTTTACATAAGCAACAAGGAACATTGTATGATTAAGATATCCCATGTATATAAAATATTTCTAACTATTTTATAATTAATTAGTAAATTAACAAATATATTAGTTGATATACTATAAATTTATATACTATAATTAGTATTTATTCATATAATACACTCATACATCAATGCACTACTAATTAATATATACAGTGATCGAAATCTGGTAGGACACTCATTTTCTCATAAAATATTGAGAATTTTAAATTTTATTATAGAGAAGAAAAATCATCAAGTTCAAAAAACTCTACAATAATATGTAGTCAAACCATTATTTTTTTCGTCCCTTCAAGGATAAAAACCCTTATTTATAATTTTCTTAATTGGGAACCCTTATTTTTAACTTTATAATATGATAGAAAAAAATTTACAAACAATTTTATTAATTTATCTTATAATTTTTTTTTATGCGATTAACCGTTCGCCCGTTACAGCTTGTTAAAGTTAAATGATTTTAGGCCAAATTTCTATTGTCATTTTACTGTATTAAATACAGAAGTCATTATTAGCTTTGATGCGAAACTGAGAAGGTATTGGTTTTACTAAGATGTGTTTTTTTTTGTTTTGTGTCTGTTACCACTTTTTCTCGGCTCTCACCGAACCGATTTCTTTCAATGATACGTCAAAAGATCACAAATCGTATCTAGTCGAAGACATTACCCTCAAAAATTAAAAAAATCCCCTCGTTCCCCGTAAATGGGGGAAACCTCCAAAAAAATTACAAATTTAAAAATTGCTAATTTTCAAAAATTTTTCAATTTTTTTTACTTAAAATTGCTATAACTTTTTTAAAAATAACTAAATCAATACAATTCTTTTTTTTATAGATGCATGATGTCTTTACCTATCATTTGGTATATTTTTTTTTTTTATATCTAATCCTTTACCTGCCCACAGAGGGGGATTTAAAATGACAACTTTTACACAAAAAATTAATTTTTTCAACTTGATTTTTGAAAATGTTCCGGAAGGTCTGACACTTTTATATATATCTTAAATAAAAGTTAATGTAATATACTTAATTATGGTAAAAAAAAATTTCGGACTTTATTTTATCTTCATGGTGAAAACAGACATCAAACATAATAAAAAAAATATGATTTTTGTAAAAAATTCTTTTTTATATTTTTAACTTTATAATGCTATAACTTTTTGAAAGATGTATGGATCAATATAATTCTTTTTTACATTTTTCTATGAGTAATACTATTTTTTAATAATCCCTTTTTCATTCGACATACTTTATCTTAATCAGGATATTAATAAGGAACTAGCAGATTATGTAGCTTTTGGAATAATCCACCAATTTTTTAAAATTAAACACTATCTAAAGATTTGCATCGAAGCGTTTTTTTTTGATAGTGATTTTAATCACTGTTAGATATCATTATACTAGATCCAAGTATGCCACGTCACCACTGTGTCGCGACCCCCCTGTGATGGTTTTTTTATTTGATGTTGCATAAACCAAATTTTATTTATCAAATTATGACAGGTAAATTAGCTATAAAAATTTACTACGCACTAAATGAGTGATAACAATAATAGATTCAAACCGGGTTTTCGGTGTATTATTAATAACTAAGTCTATGGTTTTGTAAAACTAAAGGATCTAACAAAAATACCAGTTGCACTGCCACTGATATTATGAAACGTAATAAATGACAATATTTTTTCTGGAAGTCAAAATCTTTAAACAATTATAAAACGTAAACGGTTGTTCGAATAAAAAAAATTATAAGAACAAAATTATTTGTAATTTTTTTTTCTATCATATTATCAAATCAAAAATAGTGGTTCCCATTTAAAAATATTATAAATAAACATTTTTATCCCTGAAGGGATAAAAAAAAATTTATTTATTTTCATATTATTGTAGAGTTTTATAAACTTAATAATTTTACTTTTTACAAAAATTTTTAATTCTCAATATTTTCTGAGAAAATAAGTGTCTTACCAGATTTCAATCACTCTGTATATTAGGAAATAGGAGTTGATGTTTCTGTTAAAATAATCCACTAATTTCATAAAATTAAAAAATTTTGCATCGAAGCGTTTTTTATGATAGTGATTTTAATAACTGTCAGATATCATCTATACTTATCCCAACTATCCTATGTTCACATTGTGCCGTGACGCCCTGTGCTACCGTTATTTTTATTTTAGAAGCTTTAAGTCTAGTTGTGAAGCTTATAGATAAGCTTCACAATGATTACCCAAACTGTAGGAATTAAGTTTTATTATTACAAAAAAAAATAAATAAAACGTTCATATTGTATTACATTTAATATAAATTAAATGTTTAATAAAAAAATATATTTTAAAATATACAAAAATATTTAATGATCAAACGTCATTTATTAATATTTTTAAGAATTTCGTATATTTTAGCTTACGCTAAAATATGAAAAGAGGCATAAGTTTTTAAAATTAGTGAATATTTTTTTTCTACTTGTAATATACATAAATGTGAGTCAAATCGCATAAAAATAAAAAATTTACAAAATTTTAAATCTACTTAAGCCTTACTAGAAGTACACTATATAATGAAGCAAATTATAAATGTCCACTTTATTAATTTGCAACTTGAAATTTTGAAACTAAAATAATTTTATTTTACATTAAAAATTAGACCATTTTAAAAGTAATAATTATAATATTTGACCTAAAATTGAATAACATAGAACATTTATTGTTTTGTGGTCAAAATACTAAAAACATGTTGAGCGACCTGAAAATTTTTTTTTTTAATCACAAAATTTTTATTTTAATATATATATAATAAAATGTTTTCATTAAAATTATGATAATCGAATTTTTTTGATACACCCAGATGAATTTTAAGGTTCCGTTACTGGATGGTTTCCTCATCATGATATTCATATCCACGTAATTAAAATCGTAATTATCATTATTACTTATTGGTTTGTTTATTAATAGATATTAACAACTTGTAATATTCCATTACGTTATGAAAAAAACATATATTTATATAATACATATTTTATTCTTTACTACCAACTAGTTCGTAAATTGTCTACTACGGAGCGCCCTACTTTATAGTCTGCAGGGAGACTATCATAATTTCATAAATATTAAGTTATTTCAATAACAACATTTATTTTTGCTTTTATTATAGAACAGTTTCCCACACTGATGGTTAATGGCGGTAGCTGGGGGGATAGTACGCCCGATGCGAACTCTAACGTGATGACCGGGGGTCTCATCGATCGGCTCTGTCGGGGGACTGAACCGATCCCGTATAGTGTTGGGTGGTGGTAGCGGTGGGTTTGCGCGTCTGCACAACGTCGGCGTTTTGCAGCGTTGGCGGTACCCACAGCAAGCGCTCGGTAGTCGCACCAGTAGTAGTGTGCGTCCACATTGCCACCGCCACCGCAGTACCCCTATCTTTTTATCGTGTTCACTGCCGCAACCGGCCTGTCGCAACATGTCATACGACAGCCAGCGCAGACGGACCGACAGTCTGTGCTGTAGAGGTCTCACGTAAAAACCGGCCGCGACGCTCATATTCCATTCGGCACACACGCACACCTGTTCTCAGGTAAGACGTTCAAATTTATGTTGAACTTGTGTGTTTTAAAAATCCACTGGCTAAGATGCACCATAACTTGAATCTCACTCTTACATTAACTAGGTTGACTAATTTATGATAAATATTCTCAATGAATTTCACAATAATTATCCTTTATTGAGGTTATTTTATATTCCATATTATTTTAATTATGCTTATAGTAGGCCGGTTATCGCATGACCTGGAATATATTGTGTATGTTTGGATGACACAAAACAATCCTTTCATCTGTAATCCTAAATAAATGTGTGCATGTATTTTTTGTAACCATAAAACTTGTAAAAGTTGCAACCAACACCTCTAACAGTAGTGTTTAATTGTCAACTATAGTAAAGAAAAATACAGAAATGTGTACAACTGAAACCTACTTTATAATCATTAATTTCTTCATAATCATTTAAATCAATTTTTTTAACACGTGTTCTATTAGAACCACAAGTTTTTTTTTAGATTTAGTTAAAAACAAACATATGCCAATAAAAATAACGATTATTCAATCCATTTGAAGAGCGTATCTTAAATATTCATAATGTAAAAAAATTGTTTTTAACAATAATCAAGTATTATGAACTATTGGATGTATTCCAAGTAATTCGACGACATTCATACAGACTTACACCTCCACTTTGATCAAATTTCCTGAAGAAATGATAATTTGTGGTGCCAAATGACAAATTTATTCATGGTTAATGTTAATGTCAATGTTGAATGCAAAAAATCGGTTTTATTTGGCTGTGTTACAATTATTATCCATCTACATTTGTTAAAAAAACTCATGAATCGTGGAAATCACACTCAAAATTAAACCTCATTTTTGAGGTTATGTGATATGATCATTATACTTTTTTTTCAAACATATTTTACATTTAATGCTTTGATTTTGAAATATTTTCATCTTAAAAGCATTATTTGCTATGATTATTCTATGTGATAAAATTTTTTTAATATCTATTAATATTTTAAAGGGAATTTATTCTAATAAATTATTTAACAGTAAAACTAATTTTTAAGTCGGATTCGTGTCTAGAATAATGAATTTCCTGACTTTATCAAATAAGTATTTAACTAATAAGAAATGTCCTAGATTTACGTGTATGTTTTATAAATAACAATGGCCGAGAGGGCCATTTGGAAAAGTAACAAATTATTTAAAAATTACTACTTTAATATTGATCGAATAGCTTGTTTGACTCCATCAGTTTTAGAAGAATTATACATAATACATATTATTATACATTAATATGCATAACAACACATTTTTTTTTTTTGCTTTATTCGATCTTCATCTGTTAGTATTAATTTTATATTTAAATAAAAACAAAATTTTAATAAAATGAATTTATTTCTATTCTTATTTTTATTATTAAAAACGTTAAATATTTAATTGTATAATACAAATATTTTTGATTTAAAAATTAAAGTAACATAATTTTATAATAAGAATATTTTATTAAAATAATTATTTATTTACGGGGAAGTCGATGGAATTCGTACTTCCTTTTCAATCATCTAAATACGCCTCTGTCTTATCAAAAAAAAAACGTTTGAGTGAAATATGCTATGAATTAATATTATAAATATTAAGATAACAATTTATAACACCCAAAATAAACATTATTTATATAATAAATACGGTAGTTAATACATTACGACCACATAATTCCCACTGGTTCCACCACTATACTAGTTAATATTTTTAAAATGTAAAATCTCTAAATGAAAGACCTCCATAATTTATGCTCATAATAAAAATACGCTCTGGTCCATTTACTCATTTCCCAATTTAACATTAAAATGTGTTGATATAAAAATTTATAATTCATGATAAAATACATGACTAATCTAGAATTCATAATTATTTAATTATTTAATTCATAGAAAAAAGTAAATACTTTATAATCATATATGATGATCTGTTATATATTTGTATATTATAGTTTTATTTTAAGTGACCGAAATTGTGCTCGACTAAAAATTAATTAACATTCTTGATAAAATATTTTACTATAGATAAATTATGAAATAAAATAATCATAGAATCAATTGTAAACATAGGATTTTTAGATTAGCTAAAATTAATTTAATATTTATTTAACTTACTTTCATTTTTTTTTAAATAACCTACAGTCAGAAAGTGTAAATAAGAGCAAGAAATTTTTCTTATTAAGAGTATTACACACACACACAAAAAAAGAAACGTTTAACTTTATATCCATGCTTGATAAACAAAATTTTATCTGTTTTTCTGAATTTTAGTACATTTTTCTGTTTTATGTTTTTAGTAGTTTTATACGAAATTTATTATTATATTAATCAGCAAAATGTCATGGTCAGGTGTCCATCACTTTTATATAATATTCACGTTGGCGTTGTAGGCATAAATTATTTTTAATGCTTACACTATTCAAATTAGAATTAGTATTTTGATTAAATCATAAATTATTTAAATTCATCAGAAATGTATCTAATATACTATTTAATTTAAAATTGTACTGAGTGTCTCAAACCTAACTCAAAACTCTATTAACTTTTGATACAATTATTATTTTATTAACATTTTTTTAAGAGCAGATTTCGTTTTATTAGGCTAGATTTAAAGAATATCTTTTAATATTTTCCTATTATTATTATTACATATAAGAAAAGTTATTTTTTTATTTTTAATAAAACTTTGACAGTTCTGGCCATTAGCCTCAATATTTACATACTATAAGCCATTTTTACTTAACAACCTGGGGTTTATAATAGGTTAATAACAAAAAGAAAAAAAATATGCATATATATGATTCTCAATAATTTAATTTATCTTGTTTGTTTTAAGTATGATATTACATTTTTTTTACTATAATAACAATATTATGATAATATTTTTAGGGTATTTATTAAAGTTACATGTAATTTAATGTATTGTGTGAATATAAAACGCTATTAAAGTATACATACTCTAATACAGGCTGCACCCACCCTTTTTATCTATTAAAATGTTTGTAACTAAATGAATACTTGTCCCAAAATTGTTATCAACCCATTAACATAATTTGTAAAAAAAAGATTAAAAATAGTTCTTTAAACATTTTGAATAAAATAAAAATACATTTTTTTATATTTATTTTTATTAGTCATAAATAATAAAAAATATGTTTTAAAAAGACAATAATAATTTTTAAAAAAATTTTTTATATTAAAACTTGTGAGCATTATTATTAAGTCTGAGACGCTCTGTATATAGTTGTGCCAACTAGAATTTGACATTCTTAATAACTTTTGATTCAGAAAATACTTTGTATTACTTTGTTTAAATTATTTTTACAGATTTTGACTACATTAAGAGCATATATATATATTATTACTTACGTCTAATAAAAAAAAAAAAAAATACAATTTCTATTTTTTCAAAATTTAAATAGTCATTCTTGAGCCTTTTTCTTATAATACTTTTGGATAACATTAGAATAAAATATTTGTTGAATTACAAACATTTTAATACATAGAATGAGTATGATGCAAGGGTGGGTATAACTCGTACTGTGTTTGTGTACTCCTCCCGCGATTCATATTAGTTATATTTATTAAAATGTATTTAACTTAATAAGTACTTATCTTAAAGTTGTTATAGGCTGGTCAANTTTATTAAAATGTATTTAACTTAATAAGTACTTATCTTAAAGTTGTTATAGGCTGGTCAACATATTTTGTAAAAAAATAGCAAATAATGAATAATTTTGAAATTAAAAAAAAAAAAATTAAAAATTATATTTTTTTTTTATTAGAGGCAAATAATAAAAAATATTTTTATACCGTAATCTAAAAATGTAAAAATTATTTAAAAAAATTGCTAGATCAAGTTATTAATAATATCAAAACTGGGCGGGACACCTTTTTATATTTAAATTAATTTATACAAAAAAATTAAGTGTATATTAAATTTTAAGCTATGGTTTCATTATATCATAACACAAATTTTATACACAATGGCGTAAATACGTTCTTGTGGCTTATGGAGGAAGATAATTAATGATCCCCAAAGTTACATGGTGGGTGTGAGGGAAATTCGTATTCGACGATGCCAGTGGTATTCCTGCATTTATTCATATTTAGTTATGTGTACAAATCAAAGATTAGTGTACTAATTATATTAGTATACTAAAGTTTTGTTTTGGTGTAAAAACAAAAAATCGATTTTTAAATTGCGACATGCTAAATAATATATATTAGTATGCTAAAGTTTTAAATGAACTTATTAGAGTGGATATCTATCATTTTAATCGAAATTTTATCTTACTAATAATTAGTGTAATAACTGTAATTATCAGTTATTATTGTATTTTTCAAGGATTAAATTAAACTTCTTTTTTGTTTAATGTTTAAACAAATTATAACGTTACATTAAAATTCAGATTATATAGATTTTCCCGTCCTCTCTAACTCATAGATTTTTAGAAATCGTTGAAGATTACAAGAGTTATAATAAATGTTATAACATTCTTCCTTCTTTATTTAACGTTTTTAAAATTAATGTGTTACTACATTTTTGCGTATTGTTATGTTAGGTTCATAACATGTTTCAATACAGTAGGTAGTTTTATGAATGGCCTAGTGATTAAGTTATTCCAATATAGAATTTTTTTAATATATCGTTTGACAATAATACAGAGGTGTATTTAGAAGGACGGGTCCGGTTAAAATATTCTTGTTGAGCTAAACTAAATTGAGTAGACTCAGTACCATATCAGTAATATAACCAGATATTTTTTTGAGAGGGATTATAATTTTAAATAAATTTGTTCTAAAAGCTACTAACAATCAAAATTATTTCCAGAAAGGATTATGTTTTAGAACATTTTTTGCTAAGGATGGTTGATAGCAAAATAGTTTTAAATTTTCTGACGACCCCTAAAAAGTACATTTTTAATAAAAATAATAAACTTTATTTTTTTTTTATTAATTAGTTATTTAATAGTATTATGCAA